TTTTGTTTTTTTTTTCTTTTCTTTTTTTTTTTTTGAGAAGGAGCCTCAGTCTTGCTCTGAGCCCCTGGCTCACTGCAAGCTCCGCCTCCCGGGTTCACGCCATTCTCCTGCTTCAGCCTCCCAAGTAGCTGGGACTACAGGTGCCTGCCACCATGTCCGCTAATTTTTTTGTATTTTTAGTAGAGACGAGGTTTCACCATGTTAGCCAGGATGGTCTTGATCTCCTGACCTTGTGATCCGCCCACCTCGGTCTCCCAAAGTGCTGGAATTGCAGGTGTGAACCACTGCCCCCAGCCAATTTTTGTATTTTTTTGTAAAGACAGGGTCTTGCTCTGATGCCCAGGCAGATCTCAAACTCTTGACCTCAACGGGTCCTCCTGCCTCAGCTTCCCAAAGTGATTACAGGTGTGAGCCACTGTGGCCATCCAGTAGTAGGAAGTATTTTATGAATAATTCTATTTCTGTGCTCTCATTCTTTTAAATTTTATTTTTATTTATTTATTTTTCTATCCTTCCAGGGAAAAAGAATTAAATCTTTTAATTTCATTTTTTGTTATGAAGGTAATACAGTAGAAGTACATTTTATCTAGAGCATTTGAAATTGGAACTTGATCAGTTCATTCCATTTATTTTTATTTTGCTTATTTTTTTTTACTTCTTTTGTTTTTTCTTTTAAAACAATTTTAACAGAGTGAGACTCCGTCTCAAAAAAAATAAAAATAAAAATAAAGCAATATGAGTGGAAAAATCTCTAGATTTTTCTGATTTCTCCCCCTAATATTTTACTTTTTCCCACAGCAACAGACTTAGGGACAAATAGAACTGATTGTTATAAGCACGAAGTCAACTGATGAGAGCAGAGTGAGACTGTCTCAAAAAAAAAAAAACCCAAAGCTTTATTGCACATGTTCACTGTGGAAAACTGCGAGAATACACTAAGCAAAAAATAACAAATCTGCCTGGGTGTGATGACGTGCACCTGTAATCGCAGCTGCTTGGGAGGCTAAGGCAGGAGGATCTCTTGAGCCCAGGAGTTTGAGTACAGCCTGGGTAATATAGCCAGACCCTGTTTCTTCCTTCCTTCCTTCTTTCCTTCCTTCCTTCCTTCCTTCCTTCCTTCCTTCCTTCCTTCCGTCCGTCCGTCCGTCCTTCCTTCCTTCCTTCCGTCCTTCCTGACGGAGTCTTGCTCTGTTGCCCAGGCTGGAGTGTAATGGCGCAACCTTGAATCACTGCAACCTCCGCCTCCTGGGTTCAAGCGATTCTCCTGCTTCAGCCTCCTGAGTAGCTGGGATTATAGGCATCTGTGACCAGGCCTGGCTAATTTTCTTGTTTTTAGTGGAGACAGGGTTTCAACATGTGGGCCAGGCTGGTCTCAAACTCCTGACCTCAGGTGATGAGATCACCTTGGCCCACCTTGGCCTCCCAAGGTGCTGAGATTACAGGCATGAGCCACTGCGCCTGGTCATTCATTAAGTCTTGAGGCTTTTTCATCAATCATTCTTCTATAATACTATTTTTTTTATGACCGTCAGCACTTTGAGATGAGTTAGTGCCATTGCTTGTCCCTCAGAGGACGGGTTTATAAAGAGAGAACTAATGATAGGGAGATGTTAGTGAAGAATGAGGAGGGCCTACCTTTGTCTTCACGATTGGAGCATGTGGGCGAGGGCCACTGAGTAGCTTCATGTTGTATTCGTGCTCTCTGGGGACAGCCAAGTTCTGATTAAGCCCAGGAGTGTGAGGAACGTTCAGAGAGGTTTGTTGTTCATGAAACAGAGCACCAGAGATCTCAGTGGAAGGAGCTGGAGACAGAGAGGGAAGGGGTTGGAGACAGGGTTGGTGGAAGAAGAAACCTGCCGGAAGAAATGGCAGTCTGAGGGAGCATGGGTTGCCAGGGTGGATGGAGGATGTGCCTGACACGAGAGAGGGCTTCCTCTTTCTGCTGGTGCCAAACTGCTCCATGCCTCATATTCTTTGGGGCAAGGAGGGTTATTTTGTGCCAACTTCTGTGTCAGTATTCTAGCATATCATTAGCAGCCCGGCTAGCCAGTAGTTAGAAATAGAAGCAGTGGGCCGAGCGCAGTGGCTCATGCCTGTAATCTCAGCACTTTGGGAGGCAGAGGTGGGTGGATCACGAGGTCAGGAGTTCGAGACCAGCCTGACCAACATGGTGAAACCCCGTCTCTACTAAAAATATAAAAAATTAGCCAGGCGTGGTGGCATGTGCCTGTAATCCCAGCTACTCAGGAGAACTGAGATGGGAGAATCGCTTGAACCTGAGAAGCAGAGGTTGCAATGAGCCACAATCGTGCCACTGCACTCTAGCCTGGGCGACAGAGCAAGGCTCCATCTCAGAAAAACAAAAACAAAACCGAAAAATAACCTACAAAAATTAGCCGGGCATGGCGGCACGTGCCTGCAACCCCACCTACTTGGGAGGGTGAGGCAGGATAATCGCTTGCACCCGGAAGTTGGAGGCTGCATTGAGCTGAGATTGTGCCACTGCACTCCAGCCTGGGTGACAGAGCGAGACTCCGTCTCAAAAAAAAAGGAAAAAGGAACAGAAGCAGTGATCTTTAGGAGTTGACATGCGTTCTTCTCTAAGGGGATGTTTTCTTTTTTCTTTTTTTGAGACAAAGTCTCACTCTGTCACACAGGCTGGAGTGCAGTGGCACCATCTCGGCTCACTGCAACCTCCACTTCCCAGGTTCCAGCGATTCTCCTGCCTCAGCCTCCACAGGCATGTGCAGCCACATCCGGCTAATTTTTGTATTTGTATTTGTATTTATTTTTTTTTTATTTATTTATTTATTTATTTTTGAGACGGAGTCTCGCTCTGTCGCCCAGGCTGGAGTGCAGTGGCCGGATCTCAGCTCACTGCAAGCTCCGCCTCCTGGGTTTACGCCATTCTCCTGCCTCAGCCTCCCGAGTAGCTGGGACTACAGGCGCACGCCACCAAGCCCGGCTAGTGTTTTGTATTTTTTTTAGTAGAGACAGGGTTTCACCGTGTTAGCCAGGATGGTCTCAATCTCCTGACCTCGTGATCCGCCCGTCTCGGCCTCCCAAAGTGCTGGGATTACAGGCTTGAGCCACCGCGCCCGGCCAATTTTTGTATTTTTAGTAGAGATGGGATTTCACCATGTTGGCCAGACTGGTCTTGAACTCCTAACCTCAAGTGACCCACTGGCCTCGGCGTCTAAGGGCATGTTTTCAGTATGGCTGCTGGTTTGCAATGGGAATGGGGGTTACCCTGTAGGTTTGCTATTGTTCTTGTACCACTAATCATGAGTTGGGGGGAGATAGCTCAGAGAGAAAGTAGACTGAGAAGGTGGCCTTGGGCAGAGCTGGGGAGTACCAATATTTTATGTATTTTAGTTTTTAGAGATGAGATCTTGCTCTCTCACCCAGGCTAGAGTGCAGTGGTGAGATTCCAGCTCACTGCAGCCTTGAACTCCTGGTCAGCCTCTTGAGTAGTTGGGATTATAGGTGTGCACCACCATGCCTGGCTACCAATATTTACAGATGGGCAAAGAGAAGTCCCCCAAAAGTGACTGAGGTTGAGTAGCTCTGGAGTTAGAAAGAAAACCAAGTTCCTGCAGTGCTGTAGAGCCCAGGGAAGAATATGTACTTAAAAGGAGAGAGTGGGGGCTAGGTGCAGTGGCTCACACCTATAATCCCAGCACTTTGGGAGGCCAAGGCAGGTGGATCACAAGGTTAGGAGATCCAGACCATCCTGGCCAACATGGTGAAACCCCATCTCTACTAAAATACAAAAAATTAGCTGGGTGTGGTGGCACGCACCTGTAGTCCCAGCTACTCAGGAGGCTGAGGCAGGGAATCACTTGAACCCGGGAGGCGGAGCTTGCAGTGAGCCGAGATTGTGCCACTGCACTCCAGCCTGGCGACAGAGCGAGACTCCTTCTCAAAAAAATAAAATATGAGAGTGGCCTACAGGGACATGCTTTAGACATAGTCTATCTGGATTTTAGCCACAAACATAAAGCTTTCCTACTTCATATGACAGTAATTGAGAACTTGAATAAGGTTCAAAATAGAACCCTTAGCAATTTGTAGGACTAACCCCCACGCTGAAATCAGTTCATTTCCTGGGATGGTTTGATTCGTTTATTTGACCTATTATGGCTCCACCTACCTGCTGTATTAGTGCAAACACATCCTGTGTGTGTTCAGTACCTCTCTGTTCTTTACTCACTAAACCTACTCCAAGTAAAGAAATGTGCTTTGGCCGGGTGCAGTGGCTCATGCCTGTAATCCCAGCACTTTGGGAGGCCGAGGGGGGTGGATCATGAGGTCAGGAGATCGAGACCATCCTGGCTAACACGGTGAAACCCCGTCTCTACTAAAAATACAAAACATTAGCGAGGTGTGGTGGTGGGCGCCTGTAGTCCCAGCTACTCGGGAGGCTGAGGCAGGAGAATGACTTGAACCTGGGAGGCGCAGGTTGCAGTGAGCCAAGATTGCACCACTGCACTCCAGCCTGGGTGACAGCATGAGACAATGTCTCAAAAAAAAAAAAAAAAGTTTGAAAATATGCTAGCAATTGTCTCTGGGTTCTGAAAATAACACAAAGTGTAAAAATGTGTTTCTTGGCCTTCTTTGGGAGGCCAAGGTGAGTGAATCACTTGAGCTCAGGGGTTCAAGACCAGCCTGGGTAACATGGTTAAACTCCATCTCGACCAAAAAAAAAAAAACAAAACTAAAAATTAGCCAAGTGTGGTGGTGCACGTCTGTAGTCCCAGCTACCCGGGAGGCTGAGGCAGGAGGATCACTTGAGCCTAGGTTGCAGTGAGCTATGATGGTTCTACTGCACTCCAGCCTGGGCAATAGAGTAAGACGCTGTCTCTAAAGTAAATAAATAAATAAATAAATACATACATAAAAAGGTGTCTCGAGCTGTAAGAGCTTCTTTGAAAAGCTGATTTTTGTGATTTGTAGTCATCTCCTAAACTGTTCGTATTTTTAAATTTTCCCCAATTTAGTTGACCATGGCCTTGCCAGGTTGGTGACAGTATATCGCGAGCATGGTCATAAAGCTGCCAAAATCAACCCCCTCTTCACCGGGCAAGCCCTGCTGGAGAATGTGCCTGAAATCCAAGCCCTGGTGCAGACACTGCAGGGACCCTTCCACACGGCAGGTATGGCTTCTGCACAGCAGGTGGGAGCTCGGAGCTGCATACCAGGCCTGGCTCCTGCCTCTGTTCTTGAAGAAGCAGCATCCCCGCTGGAGCTGAGGCTCCCACAGGTGTGAGGAGACCCAAGGGGGCACGTTGAGGTACGGTCAGGAAGGAGCATTCTTGGGATTCTAGAAGTTCTGAGGAGGCTTGTTTTCTTAAGGTTCAAAAACATTGAATTGGCTGGGCACAATGGCAGACACCCATAATCCCAGCACTTTGGGAGCCTGAGGTGGGAGGGTCATTTGAGCCCAGGAGTTTGAGACCAACCTGGGCAACACAGTGAGACTGTTGCTACAAAAAAAAAAAAAAAAAAATTAGCTGGGCATGATGATGCACACCTATAGTTCCAGGCACTCCAGAGGCTAAGATGGGAGGATCACTTGAGCCTGGGAGGTCAAGGCTGCAGTGAGCCTTGATCATGCCACTGTACTCCAGCCTGGGCAACAGAGTGAGACCCTGTCTGAAAAAACAAACAAAAAAAAACCCATGAACTCTAAAGTGCTATATGCTTAGCATATGTCAATTTATTCTCAAAACCACTCCCAAAAGTAGTCATTGTCCTCTTTATTTTGTAGATGGAAAAACAAAGAGAACTTATATAACTCATAGCTGCTCAGTGGCAGAGGTGGGGTGAAATCCAGGGCTGCCTCCATTCCAAAGCTTGCCCCCTTCATTCTATTTTCTTTCCCAGCCTGGGAACTTAGAAAAAGTTGGGCCTGCATCATCAGTCATGATTTCAGGGTCCTACCTCATGTTACTTTTTAAAGTTAATCTTGCAAATACCAAATTCTGATTGTGTGTATCAGTGAGTCATGTTTCAGTCATCTAATGCCGTGTAGTAAACTACCCCAAGATGTAACTGGCTAACACAGTGAAACCCGTTCTCTACCTAAAAAATACAAAAAACTAGACGGGCGCGGTGGCGGGCGCCTGTAGTCCCAGCTACTCAGGAGGCTGAGGCCAGGAGAATGGCGGTGAACCCGAGAGGCGGGCTTGCAGTGAGGCTGAGGATCCAGCCACTGCACTCCAGCCTGGGCGGCAGAGCGGAGACTGCCGTCTCAAAAAAAAAAAAAAAAAAAAAATAATCATGTGGCAAGTTTAATTCCTGGAACAGTACCAAAATATTACTTCAACCACAAGAGTTCTTTTATTCTTAATAACTTGGGTTCATTTATTGCCGGTGCTGTGGCTCACACCTGTCATCCCAAACATTTTGGAGCAAGGCGGGTGGGATCCACCTGAGAAGCGAGTTCAGAGCTCAGCCTGACCAATAATGGTAAAACCCCTCTCTACTAAAATTACAAAAATTAAGCCAGGTGTGGGAGCGTGCACACCTGTAGTCCCCAGCTACTTGAAGCTGCTGAGGTCCAGGAGATCCGGCTTGAACTCGCGGAGACAGAGGTGCAGTGAGCCAAGATCCACCACGCACTCCAGCCTGCGCGACAGACGAGGGCTCCGTCACCAAAATAAATAAACAATAATAACTGGGTCATTTATTCAATGCTATCAGAATTTGCTAAAGGAAAAAAACTAAAATACGGTCAGAGGTCCTGAAGTAGTAAAAAACTAGGAGGGGGAAAAACCCCACTTCCTTCACAAAGACAGAGCCTGCTGCTGCTTTATGCCAAGTTTTGATTCTACAGTAATTTCTTTTTTTGTGTGTGATGGAGTTTTTGCTCGTTGCCCAGGCTGGAGTGCAGTGGCACGATCTTGGCTCACTGCAACCTCCTGCCTCCCAGGTTCAAGTGATTCTCCTGCCTCAGCCTCCCGAGTAGCTGGGACTACACGTGCACACCACCACGTCTTGACTGAATTTTTGTATTCTTAGGAATAGATGGGGTTTTTCACCATGTTGGCCAGGCTGGTGTCAAAACTCCATATCCTCAGTGATCCTCTTTGCCTCACTCCCCAAAGGTGCTGAGATTACAGGCATAAGCCCACCAACACCCCGGCCCAAACCTTTACTTTAATATTGCCTAGCAGTTTGTCCAACCCGCAGCCCACAGGCTGCATGTGTCCAGGACAGCTTTGAAATGTGGCCCCAACACAATGAATAAACTTTCTTAAAACATTGTGAGATTTTCTTTGTGATTTTTTTTTTTAGCTCATTAGCTATGATCAGTGTTAGTAATATTTGATGTGTGGCCCCAAGACAATTCTTAATTCCAGTGTCGGCCAAAGGAAGCCAAAGATTGGACACCTCTGCTTATGGTTTCTTAACACAAATTTTGGTTTTTTTTTTGTGTTTTTTTTTTTTTGTTATATAAGATTTAGGCGACCGGGCGCGGTGGGCTCAAGCCTGTAATCCCAGCACTTTGGAGGCCGAGACGGGCTGGATTCATGAGGTCAGGAGATCGAGACCATCCCGGCTAACACGGGTGAAACCCCTGTCTCTACTAAAAAATACAAAAAACTAACTGCCGG